GACCACAGCACAGGTCACAACTCGAGTCACAAGTCACAGTCCAGGTCACAACTCAGGTCACAACCCAGGTCACAACTCAGACCTCACCTCACCACACCACCGCCAAAGAAAACTGACGCACCACCACAAATCACAAAAACCACATCAACAAACACCACAGACACCGCACTCACCGCCCCCAACCGTCGTCTCACCAGATCCGCCTCGATTTAGGAGTTGAGACAGGAACCACCAATCGGCGGTGGTCAGTACTAGGTTCTGGCCACCTGCTACATGAACCACCACCGAATAACAGATAACCAAACCTCCAGTTTCCGTCAATCCGTACCTATGAGTCACAATAAACCCCAGCGATTCAGTTCGGAGGAGCACCGCCGCTGGCGGCGGCGCTCCGACCGTTATCATCTGCAACGTTCACCCGCACCTCCGCCTCCACCGCACCCCCACGATCTGCTTCTTCGATTCGAATGAGAAGTGAAGTTCGAGAGGTCCGATTTGGAAGAGCTCGCTGCTACTCATGTCTTAACGGCGGCGAGAAAGCGGTTCGCCGGTGCCGGAGAGAGAGCGAGCTGGTGAGAGAGAGTAGATGAGAGGGGCATGACAGAAGACAGGCGGCGGCAGGAAAGAAATAGGCGAGGGTAGAGAGTGGAAGGTATGAATTTAGGGTTTGTTTTTAAATGAAATTAATTGTGATTAAAATTTATAATTAATATAATTGTAATCTGTATCTATTTTAAAAAGTTCTGATTTTTGAAATTTAAACTATGAAATCTGATTTTGGAAAATGGATCTCCAAAAGTAGGGAAGGATGTAATTTCCACTAATTTAAAATAGGAAATTTGACCCGACAAGGAAATATTGAATTTTTAAGATTAAAAATCGTTTTGAATTCTTATATTAAATGTTTCGCTAGACAACTCGACGGAACGTAAAAATAAATTCTAAATTTTGACGGGAATGTCGTAGTGACATAACTGAAGTTATAAAATATGCATTTTAAAATTTGGGTCGCTACAGTTACCATTGCAAAAAAATAAAAAAAAAGTAACCTCGAAAACCAAATCCCACCAAATTGGTGGGAATTGATTTCCTCAAAACCATGGAATTGGAATCGTGTGAGGCAAAAGATGGAATGCCAAGAAAATTTTCCAAATCAAACATGAATTTTTATGGAAGATGGAATTTCATTTCCAAGTTCCATGGAAAAATTGCCAAATCAAATAGGGACTAAGAGTTTGACCTCAAAGGGGTACTGATTGCTCAACTATAACAATCAACATACCTGAGTTGCACCATTTTGGTGCAATGGGTGCCTGAAACATTTTTTTTTCACTTGGTAGACTGTCATAATAGGAACTCCACTTTTTAACTTTAACTTGTAAAAATGAGTTTTAAAACTTATTTATTTATTTACAAATAGTATATTTTTAAAAGAATAAAGTGTGAGGCCAAACTTGAACTTTTACGTTTCAAGCAGGCCTTGGCAAAGTCTAAGCATTTAATGAAAAGAAAAAAAAAGCACAATACGCAACTATGTAATCAGGCCAAACTTAATGACTAGAAGAAGTGTAGGCAAGCTTTTTAGAACAAGCTTATAAGTAAGCATCTTAAGCTTAGCCAAATATGATGTAACTTTTCCATTTTTGTTTTTATTTTGGGAAAAGTTAGTGTTTAGCTCTCTAACATTTGAGGTAGTATGGTGTTGGTTTCCAACCTATTTGATTTAGGAATATCGGTCCTTACACGACAGTAACTGTCAACATATACGTTATATTTGTACATGACTTAAAGATGTAAGTTAAGTTGTTTGACAATTTTTTCTTTCAGTTTTAAGTCAAGTGAATCATGTACAATTTTAACATTCATATTCATAGTTTTCATCATGTAGGGATCCAAATTCATAGATTTAAATAAGTTGGGTTACCAAAAATCAAACTAATTGAAAGCTTAGGGAATAGAGCACTAACTTTTCCTCTTGTTATTTTAATTCCATTGGTTACTACGGGAATCCACATATCACCGCGTTCACTTCTTGCTCCAGATAATGAAACTCGAATGATCGCAATATGTCGTAACATTTTATATATTTTAGATAAATGTACGTTAATCTCAATCAGAATAAAGCCTCCTATGATCATATTTAACCAAAAATCTCCGGGTATGCTCATTGCTCGGTATGGTAAAAATAACTATATAGTAGCCGGATTCTCGCGAAATTATACAAACTTCCTCAAAATGACTTCAACCTCCTTTCAATCGCTACTCAAATTTCCCAAGCTCGCAATATGGGGAACCCAATCCGTCATTAGTTATTATACTCTTCCATAGAAAAACTGTGTATTTGGCATATTAAAGTCGAGCATAATATTTCACATTTATCAGTTAATCTTATCACATGGATAGACCAAACATCATCCAATTGCTAAACCAAAGTATTTTAATGTTCATGTAATTTGCAGTTTCATGTCACCTCAAATTGGGAGAGACTGAATTACAGACACACACAAGACTACACTCCAAAGACTACAATACTAGGTAAAATTGCAGCCCAAAAATCATATAATTAAAAAAACAAAGGCATTATACAGAGAACAGGTACAGTCGAATACTCAAGCAAGCTAGAGTTCATACTCAAATTGTTAGAGATGACCTGAACTTTTCTAGTGAAGAATAAAAATAACAAATGTCAAATTAGGTCAGATATCTTAAGAGTGAAAAGGGTAAATCAACTGCTAATAGCCACAATTGTCAAGTGTACTTCACATTTTCAATAATGAAAACGTTTTTCTTCTAGTGAAACTTTCTAAATTTGTGCAAAAACACCATTCTATCGAGGTGTTTGACAAGAAAAAATTCCTGAGCATTACTGCCAGACTCCTCATTACAGAAACCTTCTAATGTTCAACAACTATATCAAGACAAAACCATCTTGCAATACAAAACCAAGCTTAAAATTCACTAAATTTCTAAACAAGTGAACACAATCCACGGTTACAAATAAATAGGTGAATGACACAGGAAAAACATTTAACTTTATGTTGCTGCTTAAATCCTGGTTTTCGAATCACCTCCACCCTGTCTCAATAAAAAACTGTAACCACCTACATATTCATAAGGTTGTATTGATTAAAAAGGTCCTTCGCCATGTCAAATTGATAAAATGTTTCTATATCCACAACCTTAAACTGCACAAAAAATACTACAGAGTTTGACAACTAACAGTAATTCCCACTTCATGCTTAATAACAAAATATCCTTAGTAACACAAAATTTTGTGTGTTAGACTATGGGAAAAACAAAGCAAGCTAAAACATATAATTTACGAAGGCTATTTCTTCAATAGTCTGTACAATTTTAATCAGCTAAATGGTTTCTAAACAGGGTCAACCATCTGGCTGATTCAGGGTCATCAACCTGAGAGCCTGTTTCTCATTAATTGGGAAAAAAAGAGTTTTGAATAGTCTTTTTAGAAGTATTCGTGGTTAAAAAGTAAGGAAATTTTTTTGGTATACACACGTAGAATGTTTTATTGTGTGAATGTGTTGTTGAAAATGATCATGTAGCAAATCATAAAATAAATTAACGAGTGTCAAACAGGTACCAAGTGTTTAACCACATTTCGGGGCTTGTTTTTCATTTATATAGTGAAACAGTACTATTAAGTTTTCTTGGGAGGATGTCTTCTTGATGCAAGTGAAATTTTGAGGACACTCTTTTTTACTCCAACTAGCTTCAAGCATTAATCTTTTAGTTCGATCCAACCTATTCTGCCACAGGAAACTGGCAGATCAAGAGACAAATCGAGCTCAAAGTTAACCAATGAAGACAAAATTAGATGGGTTTAGGTAATCAACGGACTGGAAATTTCCACAAGATTGTAAAAAGTTCACGTAATTAGACCAGAAAGAAACATTTAGCATAACTTTCTCCCTCTCCCCTAATCTCTTTCATTGCATCCCTCCTGTTTATGCATACAAGTTATTTAAAATAAAGATTTATTCAAATAATTTAATAACAAAAATTAATTAAATACGGCAATGCCAAAGTATGCAAGGAACTTTCACCACACCCTATATTGCTTATTTAAGTTCTAAAATTTTAATCCACACTAATCCACTCACAGAAACTAGATCCTTGAAAATAAACCGGATTTATCTCGTCAAGTAAACCAGACAAATATAAATACTCTGACATCCCACTTTAACCTTGACTTATTGTCACAACGAAGACCTTGGCTACAACATTCTTCTCCACCCTCCAGAAAAAACAGTACAGGACTCAAATAATCAACTACCATGCCTACACTACAACATGACATTCCCTACCCTACGTATCAATATAGCGGCCATCTCAAACGACCAACTACCATATAAGAATGAGGGTACTATAGCCACTTGGGTTACCACAGGTACTGCATGTGAGTTATCCACGCAGCAAGGGCCCTCTATCTAAGTGTATATTGGTGCCATTCACATGGACAGATGTGCAGGTTATGAATCAAGACCTTAATTTCGTTTTGTAAATTACAGAGAATATAACATTTCTCTCCAGACGAGCAAGGTTATGAACCATATAGAACTGTGAATTTAAATTTGTAGATAGTGCTAACCTAATCCTATCTTAAAATCGAAAACCACTCCACTTACCTACACCAATTCTAGACTTCTTCGACGCCAGACTGATTGGATGTACTGAAATCATATTTTCAGAAACAGATATGACCAAAAATTAAAAATAAAAAATAACAAAAATCTTCCAATGTAATTGAGGTCAAAGAATGCCTAGTCCTAAAACCCCCAATAGCGCCAAACATTCAGATCAACCCAATTTCTTTAGGTGTAGTCACCCAAGAAAAAGCAAGATTAACATAAACTAGTGATACTAATATATATTACCCTCCGGAAAGACATTGCAGAACAAAGTAGATCTCATAACAGATAAAAAAACAAAGAAACATAATTTCTCCCAAGCTAATGCAAAAGAACCTCATAAAGAGTCGGTCACTCATCATCAACAACAGACTCGGTTTTCTCACTCTGAGGAGGAGCAGTGGATCCCACATCCTCATCTTCCTTCTGCTCCTCCGTCTTGCTCTCCACGTCCGGCTCCTTACCCGGATTGCTCTCCGGCTCCGGTTCAACATATCTGGCTTTCACAGTATCCAGCATCCCCTTGCTGATTTCTTTAGAATAAACTTGAAGAATTTCGATTCCATCATCGTCAGTAGTCGCAGCAGCCCCGGCGGCCAAAATTGCTTCCTTCTCGATCCGGGTCGCGGCATCCACCGCCTCTTCACGGGGAACAGTGCCGTAACGCTTGGACAAAATTGAAGGGGATGAAAGGGTCTCGATCAGGCGGTTTCTCACGGCGTCGCGAGTGCGCTCCGTCGGTGGCCATATGCTGAAGGAAATATCGGAAAATTTTGGTGCGGTGCTGGATCCCTCTTGTTGTTGGGCTTGCTCAGTTTCAGCCATTGGAGTGATTGACGTGACCGATTATGGGATTCTCTCTGTAATTTGTTCTTCTTGTTTTTCTTGCTAGGTTTCAATTTGACATTATTTTTTTCCCGTATAAACCTATAATATATTAAGAGCCTGTTTGGTAAAACTTCTCATTTTCTACAGTAAATCAATTCTCATTTTCAACCACACATTCTTCAATAAAATAATATTTTCCATCACATCAATACTTTTTTCTTCTTTTTCAACCACACATTTCCCATCATATCACTATTCAAAAATCAATTCTTC